TGATAATCTGCTTAACATTCTACATTTAGCTGCTCCTGAGTTCGACGGTACGTAAGAGGCCTTGAGATTCACCACACATTTGCCTTATCCAGTTGAACTTAACGTGAAATTATCGCAGAAGCCGATAACATTTAATCTGAAATAGTTGTTTTTTGGCTCTTTAGGCACAAATATTTGCTTTCAGATGGTATCTTTGAGCTCTGTACTTATGTTTAGTACAAAAACAGACATTTGATATTGTAGCAATCATTCCGTTAACTCAGAAAAAATTTCATAAATGCTCTCCATATTTGTTACTTGTTACTTGCTGCAAAAAAAAAGCATTTTTAAAACAAGACAAGGTTTCTCATGCCTTTCTGTGCATCTGAAAACATAATTTTGATGAAATCTTACTGGAAGTAAAAAATCTCCGGATTTAAAAGTCCGGCGCAGTTGTTCTTAGTGAGTGGGAGATCCCAGCAATATCACTAGCATGGAACATTGACAAGATTGCGCCGATTGTGTTGGTGATTTCGGGAAAAAGTTAAAAGAGAATTAATGGAAAAATTTCTCGTAATGGACTTCTCCAAAGGGTTCTTCTCAAGCAAACCCATATGATCCGGAAGAAAAATTCCGGCAAAAACTCAGTGTTACAGTAATTTGTTTTTCTGTCGGGAAGCTCAACCCAACAGCTGCAAACCTTTTGCGGATAGCCGAAATCGAATTCTGGATTCGATCAGGAGAACAAGTATTTCACTGCAGCGGTCCTGCGTACAGAACACGAGTTCAGGTCAAAATTGGTGTCGAGGTTGGTGTAAAGGCTACTGTGGCGGAGGCTGCTGTGGCGTAGGCTGTTGTGGCTAAAGCTGCGCAGGACCTGCCGCGGGCAACCGGCCCGTACCTTTTTGATGGGAATTGAATGAATTTGTTGGAAGGAGGGGCTGGATGGGAAGTTATTTAGCTCACCCTTTGGTAATTCATTGGATAATATTAGACAAAAGGCAAAACGCTAAAAAGTGGTCGGCCA